GGGAGGCCCGGCCCTAGGGGGCAGCACGGGGCCGGGGAGGCGCCGCCCGGCCCGGCCCGGCCCCGCGCCCCTTCCGCCCCGCCGTTCCCCCCGGCTGCCGCACCGCCCCTGGGGAGAGGCGTTCCGGGCCGGGGAGGGCTGTGGGGGAGCGGGGGTCGCTCGGCAGGTCCTGGCTCCGACGGCGGGGAGGGGTTGGTGGTCCCGACGGCGGGGCTTTCTTCTGTGTGAGCCCAAAGGGGGGTCTTAACCCCTGTTTGCCCTGCTCGGCTCTTCAGCGAGGTCTGTTTGGAGTCACCGTTCCGGCCTCGGAGCTTGTGCAATGAGCTGGAAGTCCCTCCTGTCATGCTTTTTCGGTTGTGGTTTGTTTTTCTTTTGTGATTCTTCCATTGAAGAATATATGCTTTTAGGGAAGGGGTAAAGCACAGCTTTGTCCAGCAGTCCAGAAACTCTAAAGTCAAATTATCTTCGACACCTCACTCTCTGAAAAAAAAAGTATAAAGATGGGGGGTGAGGGAAGGAGCCCGTGGTGTTTTGTCGAGTTGTGTCCCAGGCAGCGTGAGAGGCTTCAGTATCTAACTTGCTGGAGTTTGTGGTGGGCTGGACTCCGGGCAGGGCAGCGCACAGGAGATGGCAGTCTGACCGGGGTGTGTGATGGTGTAACTGTAGCTACACAGGGGGAACCTTTAGTCAATGGGGTTAAAACATGGTGTAGAATAAGTTCGTGTGGAGTCATGTCCTGTTTCCATAATCTGGTCACTGTAGCTGTGGATGCATCCTCCTCTGTTCTCACTAAACATGAACTTTTGTCCTGAATTCTTTAAGCCTTTCTTCCTTGCGAGTAACACTGTGTGAGGAAAGCAAGACATACTTGATTGAAAAATGGGTGTTTGTTTTGTTTATTTTACTCTTCCGTTATTAGAGTCAGATAGAAACATACGAACGTCTCTGCTGTATACCTATGTGAGTTTGCAAACTGGAAAATAAGACTTATTTAGAGTAATTATTTAGTGCATTGCATATTAAATGAGTAAGTGGGATGATGTACACTCAGTAACGGGAGCGAGCAGGGCTCTGAAATACTTGTTTTGCTTTGTTAGCACTATCCTATGGCAGGACTACAATTCCCAGCATTCTTTTCGCCTCAAGCAGTGTGCTTTAATGCAACGGGCAATTGCCAACATTAACATAGTAGGTGTCAGGTGTGATACTGCTGTGCCAAACAGTGAGTCCAGACCTGTGGTTTGAGAGTGCAAAGCGTTTGGGAACAGTCCCAGCCAAAGTGCTCCTGACCACTTTCCTGACCGTGTCCCCCCACCTTCAGGTAACATTCTCTTGTGCTGTGGTTCAAACCAGCAGGGTTCAGGCTTTTCTGGTGACTCCCCTGATTTGCTTGCTGCTTGGCTCTGGGGTGGTTTTGCTGGCACGGAGGGAGGGTGGTGTGGAAGTGGGCACGGGCAGGCGAGGGGGCAGCAGGGCTGGTTTGAAGTCTTCACTGGACTGTGGTGCTGTTTGTGTCAGCCATCGTGGGGCTGCCCTCAACGTGTGTAGGTCACACACAGCCTGGCTGTCACAGCAGCTGACGCTCTTCCTTCCCGTTCCAGTGGTCCTGCTGCTGCTCCTCCACTACTGCACCCTCTCGTGCTCTGGCCCCCATTGGATCCTTTGCTAAACCTGCTCAGCACATTAAACCGGCAGGAAGTGAGCTGCTCTCCTCCCTCTTGGGTTAATGAGGTTAAACTGAGTTCTGGAGAAGTCCACCAAGCTCCAGAACTGGTAGAAATGTTTGTATCAATGGGCAAGGGGGAGGACAGAGGTTCTTCCTCTCCAGAGGCAGTGTGAGCTTTCGGACTGTCTCTGTGAAAGTCAGCTGAAGGCTGGAGCTGCTGCAGGGAGTTGGGGGGCTCGTGCAGCCTTTAGGGTGCTTTGCTCAGCCAGTTATTGGCCTTCACCCTGGGAGGGCACCGAGTGGAGGAGGTGGGGTGGGGGGTAGATGAGAAAGGGGCAGGAGCTGCTGCATGTACATCCCCTCTCTGCCTCTCACCTGCACTGCTCTGCTGTTGCTCTGTGCCTGCCTTGTGCTTGGATTAGTGTCCACATTGACACACACGAACCATGTGGCTGCAGAAGAACTGGCACGAGTGGGAGCGTACAGACCGAGCTGGCTGTGAGGGACTGGAGCCTGGGTTTGGGTCAGGTTTGGATCCGTGTGTGCTGTCATGAACCTGTTCTGCAGCGGTTTGAACTCACCTGAGTCAGTTTTGACACAGTTTTATAGCCTCCCACGTGCCGCTGTTAACCCGTGTCCCATCCTGCACTGAGCTTATGCTGAGAACTTGCTGGATGAAAAGAGAGACTCAACACCCCCCCACACCCCACCCCGCTTCTTTTTTTCCCTCTTTTTGTTGTGGTGGTTTAATTTACTGAACCAGTTCATCTCAGGGGCAAAGAAAGCAAAAAAGGAGTGTGAAATCCGGTGGCCAAAATAAGTGTCTGCAGTGATGGAACTGAAGTAGCCCTTCCTAGGTAGCTTTTGTCCTGTTGAGGAATTGCAGCCTGAACTCCAGAATATTTGAAACCCTGTGGGACCACCTGACCTGTCTTTAAGATACAGCTTGGACTAAAGACATTACAGGAAAGTAAACTCCCAAATATCTTCTCTTTTTGTCATCTTCTGTGGTTGCAAAGACCTCTGTTCCGTGCTTGGTTTTGCTGTGTTTTAGTGTAGCCAGGAATAATGTGTAGTGTAAGGTAGAACATCAGGTTCCTGTTTGAAGTGACACTCTGCATTGGCTGCCCAGCCTTTGTGAGCCAGGAGCGTTCTCTGCCTCCTTGTCCTCCCTGACTTAATGGTACTTGTCTGAGCTGTCAAAAACAGTAACTGAAAGAAGATTTGAGGCTTTTTTGAATAACTTCTTAAAGCTGTGCAAGTTTTCATTCAGCTTTGGTTTTCCTCACAGTCCTTCATATTAGAAACTTGAAGGCTTTTTAGGAATGGGTGGATTTTTTTTGTTACCCAGGTGGGGTGGCTTTAGTGAAATTGTCTAATTGTCTACAGCATGTGATCCTATAGAAAAACTGGTTGCAGAGTTTTGCCCTGCTTCCCAAATTCAAAGGTCTGATGCTTCTTTTTTTTTTTTAGAGCTATCAGTAATGCAACACACATTTTTTCTCTTGATACCATTGATTTGTCCAGAAGAGCTGGGTCTCTGGCCTTTAGGTTTTGTGCCCTATATTTGCTTTTGGTTACTGTCTGTTGATGAAGACTTTTTGCAGCTATGGTTAATTTAAAAAACAAACAAACAAAACCAACACCCAAATGAAAACTAATTTAGATGTTTGATTTAGCTTTTTTAAAATAAAAATATATCAA